GGCGCAGGCAAGTGCCAGGAAGAGGCTGTACCTAAAACTGGAATAGGTCCTCAAACATGGGATCAGAGGAGTGAAGTGAGACCACAACCCAGACAGTGAAGCCAAAGAAAACAATTCAGAAAAATCAACAAATGTGCTGCCACTCTTGTCAGAGCAAATGTAGAACCGAGAGCCAGGAATTCAGAGCAGGCCACACAGGAAGGGTCAAAGTTGCTGGGCCATCTGACTTATACTTCTTTTTAGTCCAGATGAGAGGTTTGAGCCCAATCCATAGGAATTTAAAACAACTTCTAACCCCTTCCACATCATATCTCCAACACAATATAATTTTCAAAGCCTTTCATCTCAATATACCACACTTCTGGTTGACCCATAAGGCAAATATGGGTTGACCAGATAAGGAAAGTCTATATGAAAAGATAGAATCCTGGTGTAGCACTGTGGACTAATGTGTCAGACAGCAAAGTCATTTGAATTGCAAAGTCGGTGATTCAAGCTCACCAGCTGCACCTTGGACACCCTATACAAGGTCACTATGGGTTGGAATCAACTCTACAACACTTAACAACAACAACATATGAAAAGATAATGCTTAACTGTGAAGACTCAAGCAAGCACATCCCTGCAGAAGTACCTAATGGCTGGGTTGCATTTCCTGGCTGCTAACTGGGAAACCTCAATTTAACTCTTTACCTTCTACTCAAGTAAGTTGAATATTCTATTGCTTGGATGTTTGGTTTGGTTTTCATGACAGTTTATCAGAGTAAAGAAATTTCAAGTTAATAAAAAACATTAAGTGTTAATGAAAAATAAATTTTTTTCTAAAGTAAACCCTGGACTCAGTATATTCATTCTCATTCAATTTCTTTTATCTTATTCATCTCCATTTCTGAAACCCTAATTCATTGTCAAAAGCATCCTCAGCCATGACCCTGAGACCAGAACTAGACGATGCCCAGCTACCATTACCAATCGCTGAGAAAGGGATCACAATAGGAGGCGGTTCTGGATAGAGCAAGAGAAAACTGTGAGACAAATCTCAGAATCATTAATAAGACCAGGGTCACTGGTAGGATGGAGACTACTGGAACTCCAGAGATTATGGTCCCTGGTCACTCTTCAGGGAAGAACTGGACTTACACCCGTTGAACAACTTTCAGTCAAATAACATACCATCCTGGTATGGCACTGTGGATTAACATGCTAGACTACAAGGTTGGTTTGAACCACAAAGTCGGTGGTTCAAACTCACCAGCCACTCCTTGGAAACCCAATACAGGGTCACTATGAGTCAGATCCCACTCAATAGCACTTAACAACAACATAGGTGAACAATAAGACCAGAGAGCTATGCACTCCTTAGAGCAATCAATTATACAAGGTCAACAGGACAGCATTTGCCCAAACACAAAGCTCAGAAGGCAGGAAGGAGTAGGAAAGAAGAACAAATGGAAATGGTGAACACAGGGAAGAAGTGGGAAGAGTGCAGCTGCATTGTGGGAACTGCAAACAATGTCAGGAAATAAAATGTCCATGAACTGGGGAATGGAGAATAAATATGCTCTGTCAACTTTCACCCAAATCACAATAAAAAATTAAACACGTTGTTGCTGTTGTTGTTAAGATCCATTGAGCCAGCTCTGACCCATAGCAACCCTATATATAACAGAATGAATCACCGCCCAGTCCTATACACTATCTTCATAATTGCTGCTGTGCATGACCCCACTGTTGCTGCCGCTGTGCCAATCCATCTCGCTGGGAGTCTCCCTCTTTTTCTCTGTTCCTGCACTTTACCAAGCATGATGTCCTTCTCCAGGGACTGATCCCTGCTGATAACATGTCCAATGTATGCAAGATGAAGTCTGGCCATCTTGGCCTGGTTTTGACTAATGATATGGAGCTTTTCCACCATCTCTTCCCACAGATGTAGTCAATTTGATTTCTGTGCATTCTATATGGTAAGATCCATGTGTATATTTATATTTTATGTTATTTTAAAAAGATATTTGAATCTCTTTTGAATAAGTCATTGGTCTTGCAAATTTTTATTATGCAATCTCCAGCATCATTTCTATCACCAAGGCCATATTTTCAAACTACTGATCTTTCTTCTTTGCTTCCAACCTTTGCATTCCAATCACCAGTAATTATCTATACCTCTTAATTGCATGTTTGATCAGTTTCAGATAGAATAAATTGGTAGAATTCTTCAATTTCATTATCACTGGCTTTAGTGGTTGGTGAGTAAATCTGAATAATAGTAGCATTCACTGGGCCTCTTTGTAGGTGTGTGGATATTATCTGATCACAGATAGACTTACACTTCAAGATAGATCTTAAAATGTTCTTTTTGATGGTGAATCCAATGCCATTCCTCCTCAATTTACCATTCCTGGCATAGTAAACCATGTGATTGTCAAATTGAAAATGGCCAATACCAGTCCATTTCAGCTCACTAATGTCTAGGATATGTTTATGCACTCCATTTCATTTTTGACAACTTCCAATTTTCCTATATTC